TCACACGTGTTCATTGAGCGAACAAGCTTCTTGGAGTTCCTCTAGAACACTGCATCTGTCATCAACATAGTAACATTTTCCGTTCGTCCATTCATCAAGATTATCATCTTTATCATTATTGTTCTTGTTATCGTTGCTTTCGTCACTGTTGTTGTTGTTGTTGTTGTGTTGTTGTGACGTATGAGTTTTTCTGTTGAGTCCTGCCGTGATGATGATGATGACGACGACGATGATGATGGTGATTATAGTTGTGGTGATAATTTTTTCATGTTTCTATTTTATTCGATAATCAGTTTCGTCATCATCGTCATCATAATTATCTTACCACAGTCATAGCAATCATTATCATCATTCCCGTCATCATTAGCATCATCATCCTCATCATCATCATTATCAGTAGTAGTAGTAGTAGAAGTAGTAGTAGTAGTAGTAGTAGTAGCAGCAGCAGCAGCAGCTTCACATTCATCACTATCACAACCTTTAGTAGATATCTTGGCCCGGGCATTTCCCGTAAATTTTTTCAACTTCCAATCTCTAGCCGGTGGAGTATCCAAAGATTCTGAATACTTTAGCGATCTTGATTATGATTGCGATAGTGATAATGATGATGACGATGATAATAATGACGATGACGATAATGATGATGATGGGAATGATAACGATGACGTTGTCTAGTTAACTATGACAACAAAGACATCAACAGAGGCAACAAAAAAAACAACAACAACATTAACAACAACAACAAACAATAATAATAAACAATAGGAATAATAATAATAAACAATAAGAATAATAATAAAAAATAATAACAATAACAATAAATACCTCAGTTGGGCTGCCTTGTTCCCCTTAACGCCACACCTGAAATTAGAGGCGGTACAAAATTTCCTCCTCTCGTCCTCCTCCCCCTTCTTTCTCACCATCTCTCTCTCCTTCAGTGACGTCATTTTCGTCACGTGATCGTTCGCGTATTTATATCTTTTGTGGATGTTAATGATGATGATGATGATGGTGGTGGTGGTAATAGTAATAATATTTATAATAATAATAATAATAACCTTATTAAATCTCTCATATTGCTGTCTGGGAATTCGTCAATTTTCACTTTTTTTGCTTATTATTATTGTTTTTCATTAACTTATTTTTATTTTTGTTATTTTTATTGTTGTTATTATTAGTGACGTCATCCTGGTCGTAGGCGCCAGCGTAATCGTAGTATTCGAAGAGATCCGAATCGAGTTCGGTGCTTCGGTACTCGCTCAGTTGGCTGTTCAAGTATTCGGGAGTTGTCGAGATGTTGTCATTGTTGTAGTTTGTTGATAAGATGTTGCTGTTGTTGTTGTTATTGTTGTTGTTACTGCTATTGTTGTTGTTGTTGTTTTGGTTGTTTGTTTTCCAGGACATACAACCCCGTACCGATTCGCTCTGCGAATCTCTTAAATTACTCATCTTATCGCAAACAGTTTTACCGGCCGTAAAATTATTCATAAAGTAATTTAAACAGTGTAGTAGTAGCAGCAATAGTAGAAGTAGTAGAAGCAGCCCTAGTAGCAGTTGTAGAAGTAGTAGTAGCAGCGATAGTAGGAGCAATATGTATATGTGTATGGTAACAAGATCGTGTAGTAATGACGGGAATATGGAGAAATAAGATACCTATATATGAAAATATACAAACAAACACATACATACATACGTACATACATCCATACATACATACATACATACGTACGTACGTACGTACATACAAACATACATACATTCATACATACATAATTTATGATTTACTAATTAAACTCAGTTGCTATAGTAATCATTTGTTTGTCTGTTTGTGTTCTTGGATTGGCATTATAAAATATATCAATTTTTATTTACGAATGTTTTCAAAAAATAATAATAAAAAAATTTATTATTATTATTAATAGTTATTTTTGTTATCAATCTATTCAACGAAACTATTTTGGCTTTTATTTTTCCATTTTTATAATGAGAAAAATGGTTAGAGACTTAATCGAACGAGGTGAGAGTAAGCTAGGGGTGAGTGATTTGTCAAGGTGATAACAAGCAAGATTGTGACCATTGTGTATGTAGAAATAATATCTCTAATACAACAAATATCGTCACTTAGAAACCATATGCTGGTTCAAATTACTCCAACTATCAGTATTATTTTTGTAGAAGTGTTTCAAGTTTGTTGATGTGTATTTCAATCGCGATCACAAGAACCCCCTCACTATTTCTTCTTATCTCTGACATCTGACTTTGTCCTCTTCACTATCTTCCTATTCAAATTACTACCCTCACTTTGATTCACTATCTCTGCAAACCTTATCGACTTACCGCTTTTTGTACTCTTAGTACTACACACAGACAAACGCCTCTCCCTGGCGCTTTTGTCGCCGGTACGACTTCGCGTTCGACCGCCATCCAAATCGTTGTCGTAGTCAGCTAGAGCGAACGGGTTGATGTTAGCTAGGTTTGTAGCTACGCCGGCCATGATTCCTCTAGCTTCAGCTCTAGCTAATATCTCTTTGGCGGCTAGTTTGAAATCGGCTGCCTGTGTGTGGGTGTGTGTGTGTGTGTGGGTGTGTGTGTGTGTGTGTGTGAAAGAGAGAAAGAGAGAAAGAAAAAAAAATAGAAAAAGAGGTGAATTTAATGGTTATGAATATGAATGT